ATCATGTTTGGACTCATTTTAAAGGATTTTTCACGACGATTACAAGTATGTCAAAATTGACGTTGACATTCTTAACCGGAAGTTGACCATAACTTCATTAATATTGAAAATAAATATGTCGAGCTTGTACTCATTTTAAAGGATTTTTAATGAAGATTACAAATATGTCAAAATTGAGGTTGAAATTTTAAATCTGAAGTTTTATAAATGAAGTTAATCTATCTTTTTTAGCACTTTTTTCATTTTTAAAGTGTTTTTTGGGTTTTTAGTTAGACTTAAATTCTATATAAAATAAAAACCGGTTGAAAAGTACAAAATCAAACTCTAGATAATTTTCTAGATAACAAAAATAGATAGGCACCAAACAATTTTCAATAGTTTGAACCTGTCGATTCTGAGAAATCATATTTTTAGAGCGATGAAAACGAAAATCCCGTTTTTCCCAACATTGATATTAGTAAAAATTTAATTCATTCATCCGTGGTACCCATGTATTAGTTATTATCTCTGTTTGTTATTGCCAACAAAAGATCCATAACGCAATTATAACGAAAGTATATAGAGCATGACCGCCCCGATTTATGCGGTCGAATCGAAGGTTCAACGAGTACTAACACACTCTTGCCCAGTTATGAAATTATGAAATCGAAAATAATGTAACCACATCAAAATTAAATTTGATTTTTATCTTAATGGACATTTTTAACTCCTTTTAAAATCATTGCTTACTTAATCTCAACCCAAAAGGAAAAAAATGTTCAAAATCTTCAAACAAAGACTAATTTTCTATTAATATTATTATTACCGTGTTAATAAGCAAAGTGTTAAACAAATATTTTTGGAGTTGGGTTGGGTTTTAAATGTTCTGTAAATAAATATTAAAATGCCAATATCAATTAGCGACTTATCTGTTTAGTGAGTAGGTGTATTCATTAAATAAGTTAACCTTAGTAAGTTATCGTTATCAATTCGAATCAAAATAAATTTTTTTATAAATTAATTTAGAAAGAAATTAATAATTTAGCTTACCGTGAAGAATAACAGGGTGTTGTATAAGTTTGCCTTGGTAAACATCGCTGCTACATTCACATCATCCTGGATCTCACACAAACGCGCACTCCCCGAAGCCTCCTTAGGCTGCTGGTGGCCACTTCGTAACTGGCCTCTGCGGTCGTACAAAACTCCTTCTTCGTCGTTGTTGCTGCTGCTGCCGGAGGAGGTTAACTTTGCTTCTTGTTTCTGCTCCGCCTACGAAGGAACGCCACAGAATCTATTGCTGGTGGATTCCTCCAAGAAGAATCCAGAGGTCGTTTGAAATTCTTTTGCAAGTTAGGATCTAACCGCAACGTTAAAACATTCTTGATTCACTGATTGAATTAGACGAAAAAAAATTCTTTTGATGGTGATTCTTGCTTCTTGGTGTGCCATCGTCAAGGTTATTTGAATTGGATGGGATTTCCTGGGCGATAATCGATAAAACAACCTTGAAATTGTCTTCTTACTCATTCGAAAATTAAGAACGATGCGATTATCCTTAAAAAAAAAAGAGAAATGAAGAAATTTTATTATTATCGAGAATTCGGTGATTTAAAAAAATTCCCGTAATTTCAATAAAGAAGATGGGATCCTTGGCCCGGTTAAAATTAGGATACAAAAATGAACCATTCCGCTAATTAACTTCTCCTAAATGAATCCCTGCTTTTGTTTGTGACGCCGTTAATGAAAAAATATGTTAAACCAATTTACACATGTCAATGATAACGTTAAAAAAATAACACGAAAAAAGTTAAAACATTAAAATTTTGAAATATTTAATCAGTATAAATTATATTTAAAAATATCTATGTAATATCTATCTAAAACTTTCCTGGTCTAGGTCTAAATTGGCGCTTAACTGTTTAATGATTAATTTTTATAATGACTGGTCAATTTTGGTAAGTTTTCATTTTAATATTACATTATCAGATGAACCAACAGTTCTTTTAGGTCTTGTGTTAGTTCTAGTTTCAGTTTAATAAAAATATACAACATAGTAATATCTTATGCTAACTAGCGCTACCTACCACAGCTACTAGAACTAACACAAGACCTAGAACTAGAATCATTCGGGTTTAGCCGTCTTGAGAGACGTGCGGCTAAACCCGAATGATTCTAGTTCTAGTTCGTGTGTTAGTTCTAGTGATAGTGCTAGTATAAAACTAGAATTAACACTAGACCGAGAACTAAAAACATTCAAGGTTAATGCTTTTTATTGCAGTCTCTAGTTATTGAGAAAATAATGTTTAAATTTGATATTGAAAACGAGGAATATTAAAAAATTCGGCCCCTACGGCAAATCTGGGGGTGCTGGTGTGCTAAAAGGATACCAGAGGACTTAATGCAATAATCTAGACTAGTCCCAGGGTGCTGCAGTCCTTAGTTGTTGAGACAATAATTTTTAACTTTGCTATTAAAATCGATGTGTATTCAAATATTCATCACTCTGCCTGTACGTAAATCTGGGGGTGAAGATAGACAGGGAACATACTAGACGGTCTATTCGAATTATCCAGGATAGTCGCAGATTGCTACAACTTCTTTAGTTTCAGAAAACGATTTTTCAATTGATATGTTCAATACTTGTCTGGTCAACTGTAATTATTACAGTTGACCAGACAAGTATTGAAGTATTGAATTATTACAGACAAATTGTATGTATCTGAATCTGGTACAGATTCGAATATGAATCTATGAGCCCTAACAACGACACTGTTGGACATAATTCACAAGCACACCCTATATAATCTGAACGCGTGAAGATAAATCCATGATATTTCCGGAGTACAAAGGTTTACTGTAGACGAGTTTATTCAGCGAGTTTCGAGATGTTCCGTCGCGGCATTGTTGACTGAGCCGCTCTTCCAAGTGGAACATTCCGTCGCTATGGAGACCAAAGTGGATGGAAAATACCGGTCGTTTTTAGTGTGGTGTGAGGAACCACATTGTTATCGTACTCTGTGCGCAATGGATGGGCGATCGCGTTACTTAAACGAGTTTGAGCGAGGAATGTTTGAGGGTATGCACATTGAGGGTGTATCGTTCCGTGAAATTGCGTGTCGTCTCGACCGGTCGTTATCGGCAGTGCAACGGGCATGGTGAGAACGGTCTGAGGTAGGACATAGGTACCTTCAGCCGCGGCCGGGAGGGCCCTGCGTGACCCCAGCATACGAGGATCGCGCTCTTGTGCTCAGCGATTTAGCGTCGGTTGAGTCCTCCTCAAGGCAACTTGGAGCTGTTTGGCCACCATCAGGGGAAGGTGCACTCACTACGCGAACTGTACGGCGGCGTTTGGTAGATAGTGGACTGCGCGTGCGTCGTGCGAAACAGTGGGTTCCAGTAAAATCCGAGCACCGCAGCATACGTCACGAGTGGGTCAACGCTAGGCATTAGTGGGTTGCCGAGTAGAGGGACATTTTGTTTTCCGACGAATCAAGATTCGAATTGAGCACCGGTGATGCGCGAATTTTAGTTCGTCGGAGACGTGGTGATCGTCTACTCGAGCAGTGCGTGCAAGAATGCCCTATCCACCGACAACCGAGCATTATGGTATGGGGTGCTATTACACATGGTGGACGTACACGTCTGCTGCGTGTATAGCAGACCATGACGGGTCAACGATACGTAGATGAGGTGCTACGGTCCGTTGTGCTTCCCTACGTTCGGCGGCTCCCAGGTCTGCTATACATGCACGACAACGTACGACAGCACATCGGGCGTGTTGTACAGACCTTTGTGGAAGAGCACCATATACGAATGCTTCCATGGCTAGCTCGGTTTCCGCATCTGAATCCGATCGAACATGTTTGGGACATGACTGGTCGGAGACTTCTACGTTATCCGGCTTCCTTGGCTAACGTTGAGGAGCTATGGAGGTGAGTTGAGGTGGCATGGTTGGCCATCCCTCTCGCTACAATACAGCGACTTATAGACTCCATGCCACGTCGTGTAGCGATGGTACGCGAAGCTCACGGGGGATACTCTCGCTATTGATGTTTCTCCTCCCAGCAGAGTTATGCCGCTCTCCATGTGAGAGTAAGTTACACTACTTTAGTACTACTTCCATACCAAATTTTATTGCGCTAGACACACGCGTTCAGATTATACAGGGTGTGCTCGTGAATTATTTCCAACAGTGTATATATTGGGACATACTTAATACATTTTTCAAATTAATATCATTTAATTAGACAATTAACAACAATTTTACCTAATGAACAACACAAAAACAAAATACATATCCTATTACTTCTAATTAAACTATAAAAATGTAAATTTTGCCTGACAACTAAATATTGGGACATATTTGGTATTTCTAATATGGAGTAACATCGCCCTTAGATTTTATAACTGCTTGAATTCGGTTAGGCATGGAATTCACTAAGGTTCTACACTGTTCAGGAGTAAATCCATCCCAAATTTATTTTATTTTGGCTTTAAGTTCTGGTAATGTTCGTTGTGGGTTATTCCTCAAAATTTTTTTCATTTTGTGCCACACTGTTTCAATTACATTCGGATCTGGACTGTTGGTAGGCCAATACAGAACAATAATATTTTGATCACCAACCACTTTTTTCTAGTTTTGGCCGTATGACAAGCCGCTCCATTTAAAAGCCGCCAAAATTTAACTGCACGATACTTGGTAGTATGCTGTTTTGTAGTATTTGTTAATATTTTGCGGCGTTCATGGTGCCATCAATAAATTCAAAGCATTCTTGTCCTGAAGCTGTCATACAGCCCATACAGAAATTTTACACAACGTTTTAAACAATCTTTATGAAATGCCTCATGTTTATTGCAAATTTCGATTCATCGCTGAATATTATGCTGGAAAAGTCTTCTGCTTACCAAGACAGTTTAGATTTTGCCCATGTAAGCCTGGTTTTCTGTTGTTTTTCTTCGTCCTTTTTTGCAGATTTTTACAAGTATTCTTTTATTTCTATCAGAAACTAACTTTGAACTAACTTTCTCCATAATGTTTAATTACTTTCCACGCTGTGCTTTTAGGAATATTAAGTTCGTCTGCTTTTTCACGTATTGTTTTATTGTGGCAATAATTTTTAATCACTAATTCACGGATTTTTGACCCTGTAGAGATACCACGCACCATTTTAATTGATAAATACTGATTTACTCAACAGCAACAATGTTACAAGCTTTGGAACAAACCGGCAATTTAACATTTCATATTACGTTATTTCCACAGGTTACTTATCTTAATTTGTTCCATTTTTATGGAAGTTACTTTGCACTGTCCCAATATTAAGTTGTCAGGTAAAATGTACATTTTTCTAGTTTAATTAGAAGCAATTTTGTTTTTTGTGTTGTTCATTAGACAAAATTGTTGTTAATTATATAATCAAATGATATTAATCTGAAAAAATTATTAAAACAAATTAAGCTGTTTAATTATTGTTAATTATATACACATTTTATTTTGTCCCAATATATAGTTGTTAGGGCTCGTAACTTCAGCCACATTAAAATGTAATCTTCATTAAAAATCCTTTAAAATGAGTACAAACACGACATATTTATCTTAAATATTAATGAAGTTATGATCAACTTCCGGTTAGAAATGTCAACGTCAATTTTGACATATTTGTAATCATCGTGAAAAATCCTTTAAAATGAGCCCAAACATGATGCGTTTAATTCTAATATTACTCGAGATATGAGCAACTTCCGGTTTGAAATGTCAATGTCATGTTGATATATTCTTAATTTAATAAAATGTCTTAAAATTTGTTACAAAAAAAAAATATAATAAAAAAATTTAGAAATTAAGGTTGGTATTAATATTTAAACATTAAATTGCTATCTTCATTGTTGCTAACTTCGGGATTAATGTTTTTTATTCTAACTTTTTTGTTTTTTGAGATAAATGCGTCATGTTTGGACTCATTTTAAAGGTTATTTTATAAAGATTACGATTATAATAATAAAATTAATGTTGGCATTAACACCTGAAAGTTTTTTCTTAGCCGAAAACTCTATCAAAAAACATCAAAATTATTTTTAGACTCACGGCTAATCATGAATATTTTTAGGTCTAGTGTTAGTTCTAGTTTTTGCTATAAAAATACACAACATAGTAATATCTTATGCTAACTAGCACTGCTACTAGAACTAACACTAGACCGAGAACTAGAAACATTCGGATTTAGCCGCACGTCCCTCAAGACGGCTAAATCCGTAATGTAAACATTACACAACAATATGTTTATACTTAATCAAACTATTTTTGAAACTGATGTTTGCGTTTGATTTTATGTATGTATATAAATTCTCCTCTTGCCATCTTATTTTTGCCAAAGTCTTTAGGACCTCCCTTTCTATGTTCTCTCATCGTTCTACATGCTAAGACTTTTTCTGTTTTAAATTTTTCAAGAAAACGAAAGAAAGAAAAAAAGTGGCCAAAAACAAAATTCTTGTTTTCTAAATTCAGTTTTTACTAAAACACGTTCTCCTAAACCGCAACTTTTATAATCCTGATA